GGAATAAGGAAAGAATGATATGGATGCATCATATTTAAAAAATTATTTGTATTTTTGGAGTTTTAAGACTCTCCTGCAGGTGGTTTTATGTATTTTCGGTCAACCTAGAAACTGGTATTATTCCTCTCCGCTTCGTTTTACATCCAAGTGAAGGCAGTACCTAGAAGAGCAAACTAACCAGAATGTTAGGGCTACAAAAAGACATTAGTTTGTCTAGTTCAGTGCCATCTTTAGCTAATGCAAAAACGGGCCCAGAAAGGAGAAACCTAAGGTATTAGGAAGAAGAGAGAAAACAGGAACTAACATTGTCAGGAAAGTGCTGTTTCAGGTATTGTGCTATGCACTTTGCTTTTATTACCTTGATTCTTAAGCACTTGAGGCTAAGGGATTGAAAGATTAAAAGGCAAATTCATGTTATTATCATGAGCGATATGTAGGAGATAAAGGGGAGTGGCAGATCACTTTTTCTTATCTAACCACATAGGGCTAAACTAGAGAAAGTGAAGAGTCAGCTTTCGAGAGTGAGGTTAATCTAGGGAAGTACTGGCTAAATAGTTGAAAGAGACTCATGAATAACTTCTCTATTCCTAGACACCTTCCAAAAATATGGTTAGGGGTAGGCTAGAAGCAGAACTGGTAGGGAACAAGATTACCGTTGGCTCTGGGAGTGATTTGCATTCTAGAAAATCAGGTCATGACCTGAGAATATAGGATTAATCTTAAAAATGGGGGACAAAATGGGGCTTCTCATCTTAAGGGGTCTTCAAAGGGAATAGTGTTTATATACTGTGAAGGAAGGAGATAAATTCCTTTGGTGGCAGTGCTTGTTATTTGTTTTTGCAATACTTTGAAATCATAAAACAATTTGTAATTTTTGAAAGACTTAGTGCCAAGTTCAGTATTGATAGGGGCAGGTAGCAGCCTGAAAATTGACATTGAGAATAAGATTTTATTCCTTGTAGTTGTTTGATTTAATCCCCCAAGAGTTATACCATGAGAGCTGCTTCAGTGAGGAGCAGTAATGTTATTAGCTGAATCATGTCCTGAGTAGGGCAATTTCCGGGGGGAAAATTAGGGGAGGGTCCTACTTTTAGGAAGTTTCGGGGTCTAGTGAGAGATGAATCTCATACTTGGGTAGGAAGTGGGGAATTGCTATTTATGTCAGGTTATAAAATGAAACAGTAACCTAGTATAGGGGAACCTAAGCAAAGGAATAATCAGAAAATAATTGGAGTTAACCAGAAAAGATTCTTCGAAGGTAAGAAAGAAAGAGAGGAAGGTGATTAGAGGGAGAAAAAGTATGGAAAAAGGTTTATGTGTGTTTTATGCAGAAGGCTCTGAATGGACTAGTCGGGGTTCAGTGGGAGAGGAATATTAGGAAATGAAGTCAGAGCAGCAATCTTGTTGGCTAAATGAGGAATTTAAATTTGATTTGGTAAGCAGTAACGGCAGTGCATGATGAGATGAATATGATGTTGTAGACGTTTGCAGCTGTACTGGGTGAAGGAAGCAGAAAGCTTGCCTAGGATATTATTGCTCTGGTTTAGATGTGAGGCCCTGACGGCCTGCACTAGAGTAAGACAAGGGAATGAGAAGAAAGGAAGTGGGTCCATAGGAATTAGGAAACCTTGATAGTTTGGATGTGAGCTGAGGAATAAAAGATAGCATGAAGATGATGACCCCAGGACATACTTATACTGTTGACGGTGATGAAAGAGGTAGCAGTTTTAAGAAATAGGAAGTGTTTATTAACCACTTGATGGGATGTGTCTATGTTTAGTACTGCAGAGTCTAAGAGGGGGTGCTGCCCCTGGAAAATAGTAGTTGGAAAACTAGGTAAAAGAGAGTTTATTGCTCCTAGTATGTATGTGCCCACAGACTTCAAGAATGCTCTCCTACTCCACATCTGGGAAAGAAAATACAGGATGTTTTTGTTTTTTTGCCAGTTTCTTCTCCTTTAATGCTTTGGAATGGGATATGACTAGCCTGTGGCAGCATGTGCCTGTGGATGCACAATTCTCTGGCTTGATTCTTGGAAGGCCTTTTTTTGTCCCTCCCTGGGGGTCATTTGTATCTCTGGTTCCTGCTCCCAGAGCCATAAAGTGGGAGCCCCCATTTATTAATTGGGTTGGGACTGGGGAGGGGGTCGGCGGGGGACTCTTTAGTGCGGCAGGCGGGGGTCTTCCCGAATGAGCCCATTAGCCAGCCCCAATGGCAGCTGAAACGGGGCCGCAGCCAAGTCCTCTCCGTTTCAAAAACCTTCCATCGCCTGCAGCAGATCAGAACAAGGCCTGCGGGAGCCCTTAGCTTCTGATTGCAGCTGTGAGGAAGGACAAAACAATTTATAGGAAGCCAAGTAGCTCCTGTCTTGCTGTCTTCCTTTCTGACTTTGGGAAGGGGGAAGACTGGGATGCGGTGTCCCCTCCCACCATGGCTTCTTACAAGACACATATAGGCCTAAAGTAGGAGAGAATAGGAGTGAGTATGTGTATTGTTAGGACATTTATGTTGATGCTCTGGATGTGTTTACACATGTCTTTGCTTGCTTATTTCATCCACACACAGTTGTATTGGATAAGCCGCCACTACTTATATGGGGTTCTCTAGGGCAAAGCCAGGTATGTGCTCAGACTCTTAAACAGTCTAGGGTGTATGCTGGGGGCATGGGGGTGGGAGGAGACACACTTATACTCTTTCCTGCCCAATATAGTTACTTTCCTTGTCTCTTATCTGCTTTATCAAGATTCGGGATTGGAGTTAGATCACCTTCTTAATATCTTTTCTTTGTAATAAAAGGAGTTTGGCACTTAAAGGAAGGCCTCCTACTGGGACTCACTTGTTTGTCCCTTAGTTAAGCCAGCATGAGAAAGGCAGGCATCTACAGGGGAGCTTCTTCCTGCATTGGCCCAGAGAGAAGGTGTGAAGGGCAGGAATGTCTCACTTCCTAATAGAAATACACTTGTGTCCTCCCTTATAGAATCATAGATGGCCAGATCTTGAAAGGGACCCTAAGAGATCACCTAATTCAACCTCTCAGTTTACAGAGCAGGAAACAGGTTTAGGGAAGTGCCTTACCCACAGTCTCATAGTGAGGTAGTGAGTGGCAGCCAGCCAAGACTAGATTCCAAGAGCCAGAATCTTAACCTACATGAGTATAGAGCCCTTTAAGGTCAACTCCTGAGAGCCTTGGGCTTCTTTAGGAAATGAAGGTAGAGCTGTGAGATTTTGAGGGGGTAGGACAGATTGATGTAGAAAGGTAGACATGAAAAACATAAGTAGAAAACAGAAGCTTTATATATTTTTACCTCAAAGACTAACTTTTCGATGGCATTGCAAATTGTACAGATGTAATTTTTATTTAAAGTCAGGAGTTCTTGTGTATTGGGAAGCAAAGAGCAGCTGTGGCCAAAGAACCTGATGCCCTCAGTTACCCCAAAGTTCAAGGAGCACTTTGCCACCATCTCTGGGGGTTGGACAGCCGGAAAGATCTTAGGCAACGTGAGGAATTTATCCCTAAATCTCAACCCAGGCTTCTTTGAATTACAATACAGCTGTAATGAAAAAATCAGAAAGAATAGAAAAAATCAGAAAGAATAGAAAAAAATCAGAAGGAATAGAAAAACACATCTCACCTGCTGGGAAACGGGAGTCTCTGAAAGAGAAGGGATTATAGAACTCTAAATGGGTTATTCTCTGAGATTACAGGGAAATTGGGGGTGGAGGAACTCACCTCTCCTTTATTTTTTATTTTTATGTTTTAGTTTTGGGTTGTTGGTTTTCTCCTTCGATGAGGCTAAAGGAAGGCTCTACAGTTACCTAAGACTTAAATAGTGTGCTCAATGGGCTGATAGGTATGGCAGGTTCTGAAGTCATCTTACTGTGGTGCTAAGACTCCCTTCCCCTCTTTGGACCTCTCCCAGATGTATCTACAAGTCCCTTCCAATGCTTATGCATTTGAGCCTCGCAGCCACTGATGAGCTGAGGGGAATGCTGAAGAATCCCTAAGCTGGAAGCAAAACCTTGGAGGGAGAAAGGCACTACTGGCCTGCTTAGAGATAGATTCATGGGTCTAGGTCAGAGGGGCAGGGGGTCTGTGTAATGAACATTGTCTGCTGATGACAGATCCTGGTACATATCCTTTACATTTTCTCTATCATACCCTAATTGATAGCATAGGGGGAATGTGGAGTTGGTACCCTTGCAAAGTCATCTCTACCTAGGGAATGTACAATAGACCTACTTGCTCAAATTCCTAGGGAATGTACAATAGACCTACTTGCTGTCCTGCAAAGCTCAAATCTCTTTTGTCTCATAGGACCTTTTTTTTTGTCCCCTCCTCCTCCAAGTTCTCAGAGAAGCTATTTTGGACAAGAGAACCTCAAACACAAGCTGATGATCTGATCTAAAACGGCCTCCTCTAGTCACCTTCTTGCATTAACTTTGCTTTGACCTTGAACCATCATTACCCTTTATAATTCTGGGTTTTGCAGCTTTTGTTTCTGTTGAATTCTTTATCTCTTAAGTAAATAGGAACCATGGTTTTTACTTTATCAGGCTAGGGACTAGTTCCTTGGAGGTAGGAGTCTTATAACAGTTATAACTGTCTCTGGGTGCATACTTAAAGTTCATAAATCTTGCCTGGGCTTCATGAATTCAGGTTGGAGGGAATTGGAAGAATGCTGACCATCACAATCACTGTTACCTACTAAGGCCATGCTCCTCGGTGAAAGACCAAAGACCTTCTTTAGTGTCTAGTTCTTTGTCTCATGTCTAATGTAACCTGTCATTTTCCTTTTACAGGTAGCAGCAGCAGGAAGAAGGATGGCCCCTGAGAAATGTTGTGATGTCCATCAGTCATCTGTTATCTGGAGCCCTGGGAAATTCACAGACTCAAGCCAGGTAGGGACCTAATTTCACTCCTCGGTGAAAGACCAAAGACCTTCTTTAGTGTCTAGTTCTTTGTCTCATGTCTAATGTAACCTGTCATTTTCCTTTTACAGATAGCAGCAGCAGGAAGAAGGATGGCCCCTGAGAAATGTTGTGATGTCCATCAGTCATCTGTTATCTGGAGCCCTGGGAAATTCACAGACTCAAGCCAGGTAGGAACCTAATTTCATCAGTCTGCTTTTGTAAGGGACGAATACACACACCCCGACCCCGCCCCGCCCCCCCGCCCGCAACACAAGCACTGTCTCAGGGAAGTTTCTTATTCCGAAAGATCTCCAGTGGAGTTTCCTTAGCTTTTTATTTGACCCTATTATGGTGTCCTACCTTCTGATGAACAATTTCTCCCTCCTGTCTAGAGAGGGTTACCCCCTTTATTGGCACTGACAGGCATTTCATTCCTGTTCTTCCCTCTTGGACAGCTGTGCTAATGGTTATTCCTCTATGGTGGGATGCTGATGTCTGTTACTCTCAGCCTCTCCTCTACAACACCTGTCCCACTTAACCACCACTTCATACACACATAACCCTGCCTTCTTTTTCCCCAAGAAGCTATTGTCTCTCCCGTTATTCTAAGTCAAGATAGGGTAGTGCTGTCCCTTCTTACTATCTCTCATCAGCTTCTCCACCTCTTTTCCAGGTTTGATGGGAAGTCCACTTGTCCAAACACTGTGTGAGATACCAGTAGAGACATACAAGACTGCTTCTCTCCATCTTCAGTGCCCAGAACCAGGCAGGTCACCAGCCTCTAGTGCCCGCCCCCACCCTTCTTGCTGCCAGGTAAGTGTGCTCCTCTCCCTACCCATCAACCCCAAGCAGGGTCATATTTCTCTCTTGGAATATTCCTCTCTGTTAAATATCTTCAACAAGTGGGGAAGACCTTGAAGACTCAGCTTACTGCCTTGGTGACTTCCAGTCCTAATCTTTAGCAAGACCTTCCTGATGTTAAATCTCCTTTGCCTCTTCTGTAGTTCAGAACCATTTCCCCCATTTAATGAGTGCGGGAAGAAGTGACCAGTAAACAGATGGTATTTGACACTGGAAGGAAAGGTCTAATGACAGGCAGCCCTTCTCTTTGTCCAAAGCCCCATATGTGCATTCTGCTCAGTGGCCTGGCATCCTTGGAGAGTATCTAAATCTTTTGAGGGAAAGGTATTTGTTTATCTGGTGTCCATTCTTGAGGACAAGGATCTCAGGCTCTGTAGAGTCTGTCCCGGAAACCACCACTAGGTGATGCTCTGTCTTGAGCTCAGGTGGCAGCTGTCTCTGTCGTCTGGCACCTATAGAGAATTTGGCAGGGATGCTGGAGCCTCTTGCCATTGGAGGTGACATCAGCTTACCCTTTTGACATTAGATCTCCTGTCTCAGCAATGCCTCTTTCACCCCTACCATCCAGACAGCATAAGCAGCAGTCTGAAATAAGTGCCAGCTCTAGGTAAGGTGCTCCCTCCTCTGATAGACACATACCTTGAGTTGGGGTTAGGATGGAGTGGGTGGAGGGATGTGGCAGGTGTTAGAAAGCAGGAAATGTCCCTGGAAGTGGTTGAGCAGTAAGCGTGTACTGGATACCTTGATGGCACCGAGAGCACCAACACTTATAACCCCGCCCATCTGTCTGTCAACCTGGCTGGCTGATCGGGCAAAGCTGAGGGGCCAGTTGGACAGCTGCAGTCTTGGTTTTTGCCACACGAGGGTGCTGCTGACCAATTAAAACTCCTGCCCCTTAGCAGACAGAGTTTGGCCAATGGGGGCACCCTTTCCCCAAGACAGAGGTCAGAAAGACCCCAACAGAGCCTGAGGCTGGTACCTAAAAAGCAAAAAGAATAATTAGTACCATTTGTTTTTCCTTAAAAATTCCTGATACCCTGAACACTTCCCTAGTATCCTGGTATCTCAGTATGTTCCCAGCTGAACTTGGGAAGCGCCCTAGCTCTAGGCACTGAACACCTTGCACAAGTGCTTCTCTCACCTCAGAGTGTAGCTGCCTCCAGCTGTCCACCCCACTGTCCTGCCTCCAAGACAGTCACTTTTTTAGCCTAGAGGGTGGGGTACCTGTGGTTTTCAGAGGAAAAATCTCTTAGAATTGTTTTAAGAGAAGTATCTTTGTTAGTAAGAGTGTGTTGGAGAGAGGACTGAAGATAGAGTGGGGAAGTTCAGCCTCTGTGCTCCCATCACCTCCCCCAGCACAAACCTGCAGAGCTCAAGATGGTTTAGTGGATGTTTGCAGCCTGAGTGGCTGGAGGATACCCCAGGACACCCCAGGTCTCTGAGTCAAAAAAGGCGTCAGAAAGCAGGGTGGGGAGGGGGGCTGCTTTGACCCATGAGCCTCATACTGACCCTATATTGTGTAGTGGCTCTGCCATGGATTCAAGTGGCCATGGGGCCCTTATGGGGATGAGGTACCACACAATTGATCCTTAGTCTCTATGAAGCCCTTCCAGGCTGAATAGGCTAAGGGATGACAGAGGTTCTCCTCCTCCCTCCTACCCCCATGCCCGAGGGCCCCTCCCCAGGAGGACAGCTTGATTAAACAGTCGGTGCTGCTGGAATTACTGCACAGCTGGCGCTCCCCCCAGCACCCCGAGCAGAGCAGCAGCGCAGATTAAAATCTCCAATTAGCGTTAAAGTGAAGTGAGGAGGTACTGAGGCTGCCAAGGAGGCCAGACGGGAGCTCTGGGTCAGAAAAGCACCCCCACTCCTTCCTGGATTCTGAGTGCCACCCTTAGTCACCCCTTCTTTCCTAGCTCCTCTCCTGACAGCTCTCAGTGCCCATGAGCTTTGCATTGCTTGGGGTCAGAGGGAGGGCTTTATAAGGGGCAGACGGTGGAGGGGCAGATGCCTTATCTGACAAAATGCTGGGGACATCATAAGTGTGGAAGAGAATGAGAGTTATCAGTGCTCAAGGGAAATACCTTACAGCCTGCCAGGCAGCCAGGTCGAAGTGACTTCACACTACTGCTGTTTCTTTTTGCCTAGAGAAAGGGCAAACAGAACAAATCCATCTAGACTGTCTTACCTGTGAGGTGCTGGGGAATGTGGTGCCCACACAAACGTCCATCCTTGTATATTTTATCCTATTTGACCCATCTGCTCCCACACAAATTATGGCTCCTTCCTTCTCCATCCCTCTGTTCTTTCCTCTGCTTTCCTGTGGGCAGAAGTAGGCACAGCCTGGCTTGGGAGCATTGCCATGCCCTGCCACCTGAGTCCTAGCCGGCTCTTCTTTATCTTCTTTGCAATGTGAGGAAGAGCAGGGATATGCCAAGAATGGAGGCCTCAAACTCTTCCAACCCTTGAATATCACACACCCCACCTAATGGCCCTCTACCATTTACACTTCTGCCCTTCACCCACTAAGCCCAGAAGGAGGGCAGCATAGCTAGCCATGCCCTTTGACTTCCCTCTGCCCCTTTAAAGAAAATGGAGGTGGGTACCCAGCTGACTGAACCTACTCACACCTCTAGAAATTAGACACCAGGGCACAGTGCCACCCTCCCAGGCTGGCACATGCTACCCTGGCAGAGGTTCAAATAGCACCCCCCTCGCACTGCCATACTGCCATACCCCCAACCCCTATGTCTTCCTCTTCTCTCTCCCTCTTTCTTCCTCTCTTTCTTCCTCTCTTTCTTTCTCTCTCTCTCTCTCTCTCTCTTTTTTTTTTCTCAGCTCAAAGCACAGCTGAGCCTTCAGGGGAGGGGGCATCAAGCTGGGGCAGGGGGGTGGAGAGCTCCAATAGCACGTTTTCACCTGCCATTTAATTGGATGTATTTTTAATTAATGGGACCTCAGGGACCAACATGAGACAATCTGATCTCTGAATAGGGACAGGGGAGGGATTGGGTAAGGGAGGAGGATTGGGCCACTGGGTGCGGTTACCAGGAACCCAGGCCCATCAATCACTGGCCACTTTGTGTTCTGGCATGGAGAATGGTGAGGTGGAGGAGGAGGGGAGGCACTGAGGAGAGGTGCCAGGGTTTCCCCCCAGCTGCCAGAACCTCCAAAAAGGATGGAACTGTACCGATTGACTCAGGTCTGGGGCCCAGAATTGCAGCCAGGATATTAGGTAAGGCTCTTTTCTTGCTCCTAGGGTTTTGTTCAGTTGGGCTTGTCCCAGTGAGTGCTGTAAAACTGTGAAAGGAAGGTGGGGTCAGAGCTTTGAAGAGAGAGGACAAGAGCCAGGGACCATAGAACCAGAGACTGTGGTGAGAGGGAAAAGGGCAGGGTTCAGAGATATTTCTGTACGTTTGGACATAAAATAAATGCCATGGAGATTACATGCAGAACAACATGCAAACGAGGCCTGGTGCCTTCGAGGTATGAATCATAGAACCTTACTGTTGCAAGAAAAAGAACTTGGAGCTCATTTTGCCGTGCCCTTCATTTTACAGATGTGGAAACAGAGACCCAGAGAGGGGAAATTAGTTGAATCCTGTCCTGGTGTTGCTTTGTGTTCCTGGATTTGGAGAGTTCCTGGGAACACAGGGAAAGGTAGGTAGGTAGGTAGGGTGTGGGGAGGAAAGTCAAGGGAAGAGGGTTGGCAGGATATTATTCCCTGTTGCCAGGAGTCTCACATCTCTGGCCCCTGAGTCCTGGAAGGAATGGAGGGGAATCGGGCAGGTGCATTACTGGGGGGACATTTCCCTCATACAGCCTGTTCCAGGGGTCATCTCATCCATTCCATTGCTTCCAAGCAGACAGATCCCTCATTGCCCCAGTTCCCTTAGGATTTTATCATATTCTATAAGGTCCACAGGGAAGGAAATACACTAACAATCCCAGTTCTTTAACCTATAAATAAATCCCCCAATGATGACTAAAGATTGAGCTTTTTGTGAGATTTTATCACAAATTTCCCCGATGCAATGTAAGCTGCTAGAGAAAATTAAGCCAGAAAATGTAACAAGCAGTGGTCTTATACCTCTTATCCATGTCTAAGCTGAGAACAGAGACAGAAACAAAACTCAAGGCTCTGAAAGCTGAGTCAGAAATACCCTTGCTTTCATGTGGTGCCATGGCCCCAGAGCTCTTTGTTGGCCCCATCTGGTTGTGTGATGTTGGTGTACTGGAGAGAAAGGCACTCTTCTAGCTTTCCCCATCTCTACCTTCCTGCTTCTTCACTGTTCAGACACTAGGGCTAAGGAGAAAAGGGTCTTTCCCACCAGTTTGCCAAAGGTGGCATTTCCTAGCATCTTCTTCCTCAAAAAATTCAACATTCTTTGTTCTATGCTTCATAGGTTGAGGTTAGGGCAAGGATGGGCACAGAGGTTGGAAAGCAGTGTGGTTAGAAACTTATCACACCCTCCAAGCCCCAACACCTTTCCCCACTCCCAGAATTGTCTTCTCGTCTATCATAGTACCCCATTTTATATCTACAAAGATCCTGGGGAAGACCAGGATATGCCTCTCTTAAGTGTCTCCAGCCTCGTTCTGCCCTGTCCTTAGAGTCTCAGGATCATCTCCTTGGCCGTCTGATTCTCCGCCTTCTCTACTGCCAACAGTATGAGAAGGGTCCCCTCATATCCCCCCAAAACAGTCTGGAAAGGATCTATCTAGCTCCTTCATTGCTTCTGATGGCCGGCCGGTAGGGGAAGAGAACCGTGCCAGGGAGTTGAACTTCTCTGTGCCAAGGAAGATTCTCTTGTCAGGAGAGATGAGGGAGAAGCTTGAAAGTGGGGAGAAGATAAAAAGGAAAAATTTGGAAACTGAGAGGCCTGTAGTCTCACCTGTGGGGCTGGCTGCCTAACATAGGGCAAACCATTCATATTGAATATCTTTCGGGGGATTTATTAGATAGATGGCTTCTGTTTGCAGAGCTGCTGTTTCTCTTCTGAAACACAGCAGTAGAGAAGAGTATGTAGTGAAGAAAAAGGGGAGAGGATGTCAGGCTTTTAGAGATCCTCTTTCTCACTCCTTGTCCACCCCTACTTCAAACCAACATTGGAAGCATATTTGAGGGGCTAAAAGGTCCTTAAAGAATTCAGTCTAGATTCTGGATGTTTCTCTAAGGAACAGGGCCTCCCTTCCTCCAGGTCCCACCAGCCCTGCCTCATATTCCCAAGGTTTAGCCAAGGGTGCCAGATCTACAGCCCTGGAGTCAGATCCTGCTCTGGAATCCAGAAGAAACCCTGAGCCTTTGCAGGGAAAAAGTGATAGACTTGAAGTAAGTGGAACACAGAAGTAGCAGTACCCAGAATCCCCTGCAGTTTGGAGAGGAGCTCATTATTAGCCCAGGGTTTAGCGTGTACTCTGATAGGACCCCCTTCCTCCTTCTCCTTCAGTGTGTTCCACTGGGTGGAGAGAGATCTGGATATATAAACCTCCTACTTTGATACCTTGAAGATTGTCATGCAGATACCCCCAAAGCCATGGAGGAAGGGAAAGAAGGCATCTCAGAGGTGGCAGTGCCATGATGTCCATCAGCATCCAGGGAGAGGCCAAGGAGAAGAAACAGTGACCAGAGAGGGAGCAAGGAGGAGATGCCTGCTCCTGAAACAGCCTCCTTACCCCATCCTCTCCTGTGCCCCCTCTCTCAAGCCAACAAAGCTGTGTGCCCAAGTGTGCCAACGCTACTGGCTGGCAATCCTGCTCTGCCGTGCAGGCAACCGGCTCTCTGCTCCAGCACACAGCACATGGTGGGGTCTCTTGTACTCCTTTGCTCACTCATCTCAATGTGTCTGTGTTGCATATTCCTAGAGATAAAGAAGGGGGCTCTGGCCCATTGAGTAGGAAGATGCTGGGCTCTGGGGCCTTTTGGGTGCATATCTGCCTAGCTAGAGGAGGCAGGGAGAAAGAAGGCTGCTGGCAGCTCAGCTGAGCTCAAGGTTCTGGTGACTCATAGCAGTGGGGGTGGTTCATGAAAACAACAGTGGGGAAGGGAGCCCAGGCCTGTTAGAGCTGCCTTTTGCCCATTTTTCCCTCACTCTGAGCTCTGTAGATGAAGGTTTCTCATCTGGATTGTGGGGCAAAGAAAGCCCCTAGCTATGAAAGAAGAGAGAGAAATGAGAAAGAGAGCAGAAAAGGCTGAGCATTCTCAGTGAGAGGCTTACTAGTAAGGAAAGGATAAGAGAGGCTAGTTATTGCCTTTACTGTAACCGTTGGCTGCACAGAGGGTACTGGGCGTCCGCATGTGCTGGGGCAGCTCAGTGCTCCTGAGCACCTTCCAGAAGAGGTGCTTTCCAGGCAGGCACAGCTACTTCTCCCTACCCTCACATGCCTGCCCAGAGCTCTGGGTACCCAGCTGATACCACATGACTTAGGAATTTTTTTTTTTTTAAGCGCCATTATAAGACCAGAACCTGGAAGGAGTACCACTGGTCTCTTACCTGAAAATAAGCATCATAGATCTTTAAAGGTGCTGATTCCCTCTTCCCTTACAGGCCAGGCTGTCAAAGTGCATCTTCTCCATTCTTTTCGAATGAGGGAGATGATAGGATACTAAATTTGAGATCACACCAGCAGAAAGGGGCTAGACAGTGGACCAGGAGAACCACCCATGCCTTTGAACACAGCCCCAGGGGCCTCCTTGTTTCAGCAGAGGAAAACAGAATCTTGGATACCAGTGTGTCCGGATACATAATAATTACCCTCCCTCAAAATTCAGAGAGGGATGGGCTAAGAGGAGGGGAGTTCTCTGACAAAGTGACTATTCATTTGCCTATTTCTATTTCTTTCATTGCTGGTGGTTCTGCTCTCCAGCTGAGGTGAGGGGCCCTCTGCTGGGATGCTCCTAGAGATCCAGAGATGATTTTGGTTGGAGAAAGGGACAGACCAGTCACTCTGTGTAGGGACATGGGATCAACTCCACCACCTGCCCGCCCCCCCAGCTCTCCCTGGACAGCATCAGGAGTCCAGGGGACCCCCCTGGAACACTCATAATAAAGCTCAGTCCTGAACTAAACCAACAGTCACCCAGCTCTGATATAAAAATGGTGCTGTGAGGGGAAGGCTGGGTGTACCAGGTTCGGGGGAGATACAAGGGCGTGTGAGTGAGTGAGAGATAGAAGCTTCACTCAATGTCACATGCTTCTCTCTCTCAAATCTCTCCTTGGCTCCCCCTTTTCTTCCAACTCCCTTCAGCCAACTCCAGTCCTGGCCATCTCATCCCTTCCAATCTAAGAAGACGTGGTAAGTAGTTGTCTGTTCCCTACCCTTTTCTCTCTCTCACTCTCCTCCTCTCCTCCCAACTCCCAGCCAAAAGTTAGTTATCCCATTTGAACTCTTTCCACCAGGAAATGCCACCAGGATCTGAACCCAGAATCCCCAGCCTCTGTGACCACTCTGACTCTGAGACTGATTCATCAGTCCTCATCCTCCCCACAAGTATAGCCAGGCCAAGACTTGTATGTCCATGGGCATCAAAGGCCCTGACTCAAAGCAGAGGGCAGCCCTAGGGGTGCAGTGGAACCCAGCCCTAAATGCGTATGTGCCTTTGCATTGGGCACACTGGTTTATTAGTGTTATTTCAGCATTGTGATGCAGAGAGAGTAAGTGTAACAGCTGCTCCTTGCTTGCAGTGTTTATTGTTACCTAGAGACAACCTCCTGGCTTTTTCCCAGCTCCCCCTTCCCCCCAGCCCAGCCCCCTCCCTGCCAACAGTTCTACTCTCCCCACACTGATAGGAAATTTATAGCTTGCCCATACCATGCCTTTAACCCTCTCATATCCATAGAGTGGGTGGTGAGGGAAGCCAAAGTAATCAGTGGGTATGCTTGGGCCCCAGCAGGGTAAAATAGTGTATGGAGGATGGAGGGACAGATTCAGGGAGGGATGAGACTTACCCTCCCCAATCTATGTGTCCAGACTCAGGCCCCCCCAGTTGCCCTTCTGGCTCTCGCATTCAGAAAAAGGGCTTTGGACCTAGCCTTGAGATGCCAACATCCTCTTCACTAGGTTATTCTCTACCCTGGGCATCTCTAAGGCCCCCAGTTGGGCTGCCTGGTTCTGAGCAAGTCCAGCAAGATAGTATTGAAACAGGAGGAGTAAATACCAAGTGGCAGAACCCCCAGTCCCCTCCTCTCTATAGAGATGTCATAGCTAGAAAAACAAGAGGCTCTGGCATGAGGGATGCTGGGTAGACCTCCACAGCTAGGTATATGTCAAACGTGAAGCTGGCTGCTGGGCCTGGTAGGAAAAACTGCTCACCTTAACTTCACCCCGAGCCTGGCACTGAGGTCTCAAGAGACAAGGAGGCCATCCTCCAAGCTGGTCTCCTTGGTCTGTTTAGGCTACTCCTTTCTGCTTTTCCTGGTCCATATTCTGCTCATCTTTTGGTTTGATACCTTGGGGCAGATCCAGGAGACCAAAGGGACTAATGCATCCTAGTCATGGCCTCAACAGAACTGAGAAAGAAGCAGCTCTTCTATCCCCTTCCTGACCTAGGACCTTTTGTGGAGGGGCACCATGTCATAAGTTCACCATCCCCACTAGAAATGAGAGGAAAGGGATCAGATTTTAGTAGAAAGGATAGAGGTTAAGCATATGGAAAAAGTTATTTATGAGATGTAAGACTTCAGAATGGGCCTACTTCTTCTCTTCAGAGAGTTTTCTTCTGCCTGGGGTGTATTTAAGTCTGTGCCTACCCAATGGGCATTGGAAGAACAGGGTTACTTTTCTGGAGCTCCTTCAGATGTATCCTCGTGCAGTTTTCACACAATGCACCCCTTCTCAGTCCTTCTAAATATAGCATGTATGGTGGTTAGTTCACAAGTTTTGGAGGCACACAGCCTTGGGTTCCAGTGCCAGTGCTTCCATTTATCAGCTCTGCTACCTTGGTAAGTCACTTAACCCCTTTGAGCCCTAGTTTCCTTGTCTGAAATTCAGATGAACAGCCTCTTAAGATTGTGGAGAGAATTTAGTGAAATAATGTATGTAAAGTACCTAGGACAGTGCCTGATACTGAGTAGGTGCTAAATCAGCAGTTGCTGATGCAATAGAATCTATTTTATGGAGTCAGCAGGGCTGACATTGCTTCAAAGACTCCATGAGTCCCCTGAAATTATAGGCCAGATATGTGTACGTGTATATGCTGGGGAGAATGTCCGTAGTTTTCTTCATAGTGTGGAGCTGGTGGTGGCAGTCTCCTGGAAAGGAAATAGCCCCAATCCCTTGAGTCAGACTCCCCAAGAAGTCAGTTCCCCCATTCCCATTCCTCTCAAGCTAGGAGGACCTTAGGCAGTGTTGTGCCTGGAATTACAGCTTCATCTAGGAGGGGAGCTGGGAGAGAATAAGTCATTAGGATAGGAACACTAGCATTTGCCAGGCACTTTATAGTTTATTAAGTGCATTTACCTACATTAGCTTTTTGGATAGCCAGAACATAGCAGTAAAGTGAAAAGAACTACCATTTATTGAGTGCCTACTATGTGCCAGGCATTGTGCTGGGTGTATTTTTTTAAAGTATGTTTAAAATCTATAGACTTCCATTACCTAGATGTGCTATGATTTATAAGCCTCATCCCCTATTTTTAATCCTTTAGATATTTTTACTGTTCTAAATAATACCACAATAAATATTCTAACACATAAAACTTCATGCATTTTTTTGTAGTAGATTCCAAGAAATGGAATTATTGGGTCAACAGATACAAATATCCTCCCTCCCCATGATTATGATCATTTTACTGATGTACCCTAATGAGAATAATATTTTTTAATCTTCCTCTTTGGAATTCTGCAATGGAAACACAAGGGCAGCCCCTTCTCCCTCCTATACCCAGCAGAGCCATTAATAATCTATCATAGCTTTTTTAATTGAGGTAATTGTAGACTCACATGCAGTTGTAAGAAATGGTACAGAGATCCCTTGTACATTTTTCCTACTTTCACCCACAGTAACATTTTGCAAAAACTACAGTGTAATATCACAACCAGAATATTGATATTGATATAATCCACCAGTCTTATTCAGATTTCTTGTTTTACTTGTTCATGTGTGTGCATGTATTAAGTTCTATGCAATTTTATTACCTGTATAAATTCGTGTATCTACCACTACAGTCAAGATACTGAATAGTTCCAACACCATAATTATTCCTCATGTTGCCCTTTTATAATCATTCCCATCTCACCCCTTCCTTAACCCTTGGCAACCACTAATCTATCTTCCACTTTTTAAATTTTGTCATTTTAAAAATGGAGTGATACACTCTATAACTTTTTAGGATTTTTTAGCTTTTTTCACTAAGCATGATTCCCTGGAAATCCATTCAAGTTTGTGTATGTTATCAATAGTTCAGTCCTTATATTTATTCCATGATATGGATGTACCACAGTCTGTTTAACCATTCACCCGTTAAAGGATGCTTTGTACTCTCACTTTGTACTCATTAGGAATCAATGTATTAGCTCATTTTACTTGGTGTGCTCAGTGTTTTATATTCACAATTATTAAGCTTCTTAACCCTTCAGACATGGCACTATTATTATTTCCATTTCATAGGTGAGGAAAATTGAGGCTCATAGTAAATGATTTTCCCATGATCACATGCTGTTAAATGGCTAAGAAGAGCCTAGAACCCAAGATAATAGGGCTCTTTCACTACACCAAGCTTTCTCAGACCATGATTAAGTTTGCTGTGGAATGGGTGTATTGGAAGGGAGATGTTGAAGGCAAGAAGAGTATTGGAGCAGCCTGGGTCAATTCAGGTGCTTGCAGCTAATTTGGTTCATAGGTTAGAAGAGCAGCAGTATCATAGAGTAGGGGCAATATGGCATGTGCCCTTGAAATTGCTTCCTCTTTGCCTGAGAGGAACAAGGCTGAAGTGGATGGAGCCCACAAGCAATCTGCCCACAGATCTGGAACCTGGTCTGTGGGCCTATTGGGAAAGGGAGGATCTAGCCTTTGGTTGTCTTAGAAATGTGAAGTTAATTGTATCTCTGGTGAGGTCTAAGGAAATTGAGGCCCATGACAATGAATGAGCCCTCTACTCTGGAGGGGTAAGGGAGATACAGTGCCTTTTCTTTTTTTTTGGTGGCAGTGAGGGGAACTACAATTCATTTACACACACATACGTACACCTTGGGCAGACTCAGTGTCTGGAACATGGTACAGAAAGAGAGCAGAATGGAAGCAAAAATGCCAGTCCAGCGTTTAGTCCTGACTTCACCACTCTCTTTCCC